CATTTGAGATCCTTTTATCAATGCAGAATATACAACAAATTTTGTTGCCATGGATATTGAGTAATACCATAGGGTCTTGTAAAGAAAATCAAACAACAAACAGGTATTCAAGTTCAAATAAAAGAAAGAACTTCAATAGCAATAAAATGCATAATAATAATGATAAAAGAAATAACAAGAGAAAAGTGAATAGAAAAAGAAGAATACAAATAAAAACAAATAAGAAAGAAAGTAAATATAATGATAATAAACATTATACAAATAAGAAATATAAATTATTAACAATAAATGAAATTAAAAGAAAATTAAAAGAATAACAAGAAAATGGGAGAAAGGAGAATACGAAGAATTACTTAAAAAGTACGAAGGTAAAGAAAAGAAATGGTATAATATTCTCCAAGAAGTATATTCAATAAGAAAGAAGAAAACACTAGAGAAAATCAAAGAAGAATTCAAAGATAAAACAAAAGATTGGAAAAGTGAAGATATTAAAACAATTGAAGAAGAAATCAAAAACAAAAACCCAATCAAAGAAATGAACGATAGATGTAAAGCTGCAAGAATAATAAATGAAAAAGAAAATAAAAGGAAAACACAAGATAAAGAAGAGAAAAAGGAAGAAGAAGGCAACAAATAAGAAATCAACACACTCCAAAATAAAATTAAAGAATTAGAAGAAACTATTAAAGAACTTCAAACAAAAAAGATGGAAGAAGAACGAACCATTTCAGATGAAATGATTCAAAAAGCACGAGAAACAGTCAGGAAAGAGTTTGAAGAAGAAATAAAAAAGATTCAAACACAAATAAACAATATTCAGAATACATGTAATGAAATAAGAAAAGAAAACTCAAATTAAAAGAGGAAAATAAGATATTACAATGAAAAATAAATGAAGCAAATGGTAGAAGGGTCATAGAATTAGGAGGTAAGGATGAAACCATCCTCACGTTCCGAGCTAGCTGTGAGAAGCTGAAGAAGGAGAAGGAAGAAGTCCTTAAGAGTGCTGAGCTGGAGAAGAAGAGGGCTGATAAGCTAGAGAAGAGTGTTGAGCTGTTGAAGAAGAGGGCTGATGAGCTGGAGAAGAGTGCTGAGCTGCTAGAGAAAAACATAAGAGATAAATAAAATCAAATCTCTGTATATCAAAAAGTGCGATTCAAAACTATGAGATTGCAGAAATAACAAGAAAAGAATTAGACCATACACAAAGAGAAAATGAAGAACAAAAACAAATAATATCAAAACAACAAGAAAGTATCGAAAATTTTTTATCCAAGAAGGAACTGGAGAAGAAGAAAACAATGACACTAGTGATAAATACACAACCAATATTGAGAACATCATCATCTGGGACAATACAAATGAACCAAACTACCCCTATGAAAAAGACAATTCTGGAAATAGAAGAAGAGAGCAAAACACTGAATATCAAAAAACAAGAAATGATAATCAGTCAAGAAGAAAATAAAACACAACAAATCAAACAAATATAATTTTAATTGATATGTTGTATTGTTTTGCAATTAATTTGTTAAATAAGAAATTAAATAAGAAATTAAGATGGGAACAAATAGAAAGCATAATAAAAGTAATAAATAATAATGTAAATAATGAGAAAGAATACATTAATAATATTAAAAAGTCACATAGAATAAAATAAACAACTAAAAGATATATTAAAATGAAAGTGAACTCCATCATAGAAGGGAAAGTAGAGTGTAATCCAATAATAAAAAACATTATCATAAAAAATAACTCTATTGATATTGATGATGAATATCTTAACTCTATCATCAATCAAGTTAAAGAAATGAAGATAGATAAATGTGTAAATATTAATTACTACTGGAGAAGGAAAGAATCAGATAAATTAATTAGAGAAATTAATAATAAATGGGTATGATCAGGAGAATAGAAAATCTACAAGAAGATATGAAAATGATTTCAATGTGTATGTACTATTATCTCCAAAATAAATTTAAATGAGATAAATTTGATGAAGTAAAAGAAATCCTAAGGAAAATAAATAGATTAGAAGATCTAATCAAGGGAAGGAAATGGTACAGAATAAAATGCATCATGAGATTAAATGAACAAGATGCAGATGAAATTAAAATCAAAGCACAAGAAAGAATAAAGTACATAAAATATATGATGACAATGATTAAAGAAAGAATTAAATTTAATAAGAATGAAAGGGTCAGAATCAATACAAATAAAATCATGTTTGATTCTAATAAGAAAATTAAAATAAAGAAGAAACACAAAATGAAATATACCCAAATAACGATATTACTTTAGAATATTGGAAATCGTTATATGAAACATAGGTGATATTAAATAAAGAACATTTGAAAATAAAACAAATCACCTCGTGGAATGAAAGATACAGAAATTATGATAGTGTCATCATCTCAATGGATGATTTAAATCTAAGCCTGATGAAAATAAGTAATTGGAAAGCACCAGGTATTGACACTATATATTTGTATTATTGGAAGAGAATGTCATCATCAAGAGAGTCCATTCTTAATATATTCAACGAATGGTTAAACTTCCCCGAAAACATCCCTCTAGACATGGTAAGTGGAAGAACTATACTAATCCACAAAGGAGGTGATAGGAACGATGTCACTAATTATCGTCCTATCAGTTGTACAAATGTAATAATGAAAGTATTTACCTCAATATTGAAAGAGAAGATTCATAATAGAATTAACATGAATAGTGAATCATTAAAATTAGTAAAAATCAATTATGATGTAAACTGCAATCTCTTGCTGCTAAAGAAGGATTAATTAATAATTATATGTTAAAGCAGCAAAAAGAAGAGAAATACACAAAATATGTAGAGTCATATTATGACATTAAGAAAGCATATGACTCAGTAAATCATGAATGGGTAATAGAATCACTTAAATATTTTAATGTAGAGGGTGTCGTCATAGATATTGTAGAAAGTATGATGAATAGATTGAAGATATTCATATGATATAAATATAATGAATATCTAGGATGTATTAAATTGATGAATTTTACAAGGTGATTCCTTATCCCCTCTACTCTTCATCATCCAAATGAATGTAATTTCTCAAATCATAGAAGGGAAGTTCCCAAAAGCAAACCATACATTATATATGGATGATTTGAGAATAATGACACTAAGTAATGAAGAAATGGGAACAATCCACAATGAAATTAAACAAATAATAAGTGGAATATGGATGAAGACAAATGAAAATAAATCATGAATGGTATTAAAGAACATCAATAAAATACCAGATGGAATGCAAAACATCCCAATAATTGAAGGAGAGGACTTGTATAAATATTTAGTGTATGGCAGTCAGATGAATTAATGATATATTCATTGTAAATCATCAAATAAAGATGATGAGAAATTGAGAAATAATACTGATGAAGTAGTATAGAAGATATATACAAGAATTATACTGAAGTAATACCAATCTTCAGATATTCAGCATCAGTAGTAAATTGGAAGGTAACTTAGATAGAATGGATTTGGAGATAAGAAAATATTTAAGAAAGGCAAAATACATTTGTTGTAACTCCAAAGACCGTCTATATGTCCCTATAAATGAAATGGGTGAATGATTAATAAGCCTAAGGGACGAATATGTTATTGAATTAATTAGAACAATAATGTACTATTGTACAAGAGTGAAATAAGAAATAACATAATAGATAGATGGTATTCCAAGAAAGGAATATGGAATAGAATTAAAAAAGCCCTAGGTCATAAGATCCCAGAAACGAAAATAGAAGAAATAATAAATGAATTTATTGAAAATAAAAAAGAAAAAGAAGTAGTAGTAAAAATAAAGAAATTAATGACCGACCAATACATCAAAAAATGGAAATCAAACAAGTGGACATTTTAGAAGATGGTTCGAGTCAAAATTTGTAGATAAAACTACTACAATCAATGCATGGAAGTCCATCAATATAAAGAAAAATGCATTTCTCCAATTAACTAAAATACAAGATGGAGCAATATTTAGTGGGTACAGGAAAGCAAAAATATTAAAAAATGAAAGATTAAAGTACTGCCCACTTTGTAAAGACAAGATAGCCACAGTAGAACACATTCTATTATCTTGTATTGGTCATAAAAAATCACAAATGGAGAAACATGACCATATTGGCATTATCATATGGGAGGGGTTAATAAGAAAATATACATGAAATAAACAATACAAGAAACCCCCATATGAAACAGTGTTCCAATACAATGACATCACTATGATATGGAACAAACAAATAATGCAAAAAAGTGATGGACTATATCATAAAATAACAGATATATATGTAATAAATAAAAAGAATAAAACTGGTCTAATAATTGATATGACTATTGTGGCAGATCATAATATTAATGGAGGGTATTGGAAGAAAAGAAATATGTATAAGGAATTGAAAAATAGGCTAATGAAAATAGAGAAACTAAAGGATGTCAAAATAATTGCAGTAGTAATTTGGATTAATGGGCTAGTAAATGCCGAAAGTATTAAATTAATTAAACAATTAAAAATCGAAAATGACATCACTAAAGAAATCAAAAACCTTGTAATTAAAAACATGATGGACGTCATGGAACATTACTTCTACCACAACCAAACATATGTTGTGGAACTACTAGAAGAAGATTCATTGATATGATTAGTCTCCGGTGAGGCAGGAACAATAGACACAAGTTCTATTAATACTTAATTAACTACTTTTTATTTATATTTAAAAATGAGATATTTATTAAATTTTATTTTTAAAATATTTTTTGATTTTATTTATATATAAAAAACATAAGAAATTAAAAATACATGAACTTACAAAATCATTTATAATTTCTCTTTTGAAATGAATTTAGATGTTGATTTTTTCTTGTCTATATCAGAATTTGCTACACAAAAACATCGGTTTCAATAAAAAAGATTGTGCGTCCTTTATTGAACATCCAATTAAAGTATGTAAAATATTAAAAGATGCAGGTATTAATGATATTAAGTAGTGCATTATTACGTGATACTGTAGAAGACACAGACACCACATTTGAAGAATTAGAAGAACATTTTGGTAAACAAATTACTCAATATGTACGTGAGGTAACAGATGATAAAAAATTGAAAGTAACAAGAAAAAAATTACAAATTGAGCATAGTGGAACAATTTCTTATGGTGGCAAAATGATTAAATATGCAGATAAAATACAAAACATGGGATCAATTATTTCTACTGTGCCATGTCCATTGTTTGTTTTATTCTTTATTAATTAAAACAAAATTAAATAAATTTAAATTAATAAATAAGTAAACCATACGAAGTAGCTCAAGGGTATATGGTTTGGGGAAAAAAGTAAGTGAAGCATTTAGAGGAATTAATAGTATATTGGACAAACAATTTGATGAAATTTTAAAGGGAATATAACAGATGATAATGGAAAAATTTATCCTGCTTTACCAGAATGAAGTCTAGAGGAATTTTTACTTCATTATTACGATTTAATTCATTACCACTAATAACTCATATTCCTTATGTTAAAAAAAGGAATTTTGAATTATAAACAATTTTAAAAAGAATAAGCATGATAAGAATACATAAATTGGTAATGATAAGAATATAAATAAAATCAATAAATTAACAATACAATAAAATAAAACAATGAAAACAACAATCAAATCATACAATATATAATAAATGTTATAATATCATTTGTTTGAATCTTGTTTCTTGATAAAAAATAAAAATTTAAATGATATTATCTTAAAAATATTTTAAGTTCAAATTAAAATAAAAAGAAGAGCTGATAAACAATAATAATTAAAGAATGAAATTAGGATACAACGAAATAATGATAATATCAAAGTGTTTTGATGATATTAATGATTTTATTAATTTAGAAACTGGAATTAAAAGATTTCAAGGAAATATTGAACGATTTCATTTTAATCCAATTCCTTTAAATCATTATTCAAGAAAATTATTTACTAATATTGAAACACTTCATATTTATAATGAAGAATATGAAATATTTAATGATGGAAAAATATTTAAATATGTAATATGGTATGAAGTAAATTATTCAACATATTTAAAAGAGAAAGAAGCAAGAAATATCTGTAAAAAGGATATACACAATTAGATAGAAATAAATATAGAGATTTAATATTAGTAGAACTTAAATCACTTGGATATAGTTATTATCATAACTGTTATTCATTAACATTTACTACTCAAACAACAATCACTAGAATATAAATGGATGTTTTAGTTAGTGTGAATCCTTAACATCGATTAATAAACATACAACAATTATTCATTTAGTTTATAATATTTATGAGTGTGGTATAAAGAAATGATAAGAGAGAACACACATACTAATATTATTTTGAAATCTATTGAAGAATTAAGTGATTAAAACTGCAACAGGAGAAACACGATATATTTAGAATAGAAATATAATTATGATGATAATTCATTATTATTTTTTTAATTAGATATCCATTTTATTGTATCTATTTCTACAACACAAGGACTTAATGAAAATCACATAACGATAGTTTACATCAAAGAAATGATTTAAAAGATATTATAATGTTATAACCAATATAAGTAATATTGATGAAACAATAACCATTCATTTCTTTAATTATCAATAACCATTTATAAATAAATAAATTTTCAGTAAAAAGAAAACTAGTTAATACAAAGTATAATTATATAATTTAATAGAATGTTTAATCAACATCATTAAGTAAAGATTATATATTAATAAACAAATATATAATATCATAATGATGAAATAATAAGATAATAAGAGATGAATATGAATTAGAATTAACATGAACAATAATGTATTATAAATTGAAGATAATGAAATAAGAGAAATGATGAAAATGAATAAGAATTAAATTTGAAGAGATTTTATAAAACATGTGATAAAAGAATTAATAAAAATGAAATTAATGAAATATATTTATTATCACAAAATAAGAATGAATCATCTATAATAATAAAATATTTAAATAATAAATTTAATGAAATAATATTAATAAATTGAAATTAAATAATGTAAATATTCATTTAATAAATAATTTGAAAATGAAATGAAATGATATGAAATTAACAAGTAGAATAATGAAGAATATTAATATAAAAAGAAATTAATATAAACAATTAAAATTAATACAAGAAAATGGTACATTTGTATTAAGAATGTATTAATTACAGGAAATAATAATTTAAAGTAATATAGTATTTATAATGATAAAATATCATCAATTAAACATATATTATTAAATTATATTATAAATAAGAAAGTACAAATTGATAAACATGAATTAATAAGAGAATCTGGAGATGTGATAAATTAAAATATAAAATAAATATAATAAATGAAGAAGAAATGGTGAAGAAAACAAGAGAGAGAGTGAAATGAAATTAATATTCAATAAAAATAAAATAAGTAAATTCAAATGAAGAATATAAAATAATGAATTGTTCATTGTATTGAATCAACAAATAATTAATAAAATAGAATATTTCATAAAATACCAAATATTTAACATAGAAGATAAAATAAAACAAATAAGAATAATAAATGATATGACAATAATATATGATAAGAAGATAATTCTGATATTTGCTAACAAACTTGAAATGTATAGAACTCTCCATTTCATAATGAAACAATTAATAAACTAAAATGAAAGTAATTTCAGTGTTAATAACAATAAATTGATTAGTTGGTAAAGAATCAGTAAGATGATAAAATAACAAAGTATAATAATTCCATTTGAAATAATGATAAAAGATATAATAATAATACACAAAGAAGTAATAAGGAAATGACATAAAGGGAAATATGAACTAAATTTATCAAATAAACAAGAAATGAAAGAGAATAAAGAAAAACAATAAGTTGTACTAAAACTTAATTTATTAATTTTTTAATGTTTATTAAATTTTATTTATGTATAAATGAATGAGAAGGGGGATTTGTAAGAATTAAAGAATGATTTAAGTATATTTGGATAATAAAACACCAAAAGCAATAACATGGAGTATAGATATAACGATACATAAGAGATAATAAAAATTAAATTTGAAATATCAACATATCAATAAATTAAAATAAGACGAATAAACAATAAAATAAATCATAAAAACATAAATCCAGTATAGGTTTGATAAAATAAAACAACTAAGATAAGTAAAGAATAGTTTAAATAGGAAACAATGAAATAATCAAACAAACACTTGATGACATTCTTTTTCTTTGAGTTGAAATTTACA